ATCTTAATATTTAACCTTTTTAGTGGTTCTGCATAGTAAAGGAAAGAGAAAGAAGCTGTATTTACCCAACTGCCTTTTGGGTACACAACTTTCATTTATTTCACAAATATTTATTGAGCACTTACTATGTATGTGCCAGGGACCTTTGAGATGCTGCAGATGCAGCAGTGAATAACATAGACAAAATTTCTGTCCACATTATAGTTTACATTTTAGTAGTGGAAGACATAAATAAATAAAATATAGTGTGTCTTAGAGAAAAAAGTGCTGTGGAGAAAAATAAAACAGAAAAGGTGTTTTGGGAATGAACATAGCCTGTTTGTTCCTCTAGTAACTGTAATGGATATTATCCTAGCTTTCAGAAACAAAAATATCCTATACATAATTTTTTTCTTCTATTAAGAATACACTTTGTAGCTTGGGAACACCATTATGTTTGTACTTAAGAGTTGATAGAGTTTCAGTTAATAGCAGTTTTCTGTTGTTAGTACTTGAAAAAGCTGCTTTGTGGCTCAGTAGAAAATTTGGAGTTTACTGTCCTGGTGGCCATTTACTGGTTTTGTGATTTGGGGCCAGTAACAATGTCTTAGCTTCCCATTGATTGTTTTCTGTAAGATGAGTTATAATATCTGTAAGGCTATTGTGATGATAAATTACATATTTTGTGTATCTGATATGGAAGGGGCTCAGTAAATTGCAACTTTTTTGTTTACTGCCTATCTGGAGTTCTTTTAAACATAGTTGAAGTTGGCGATTCTTCCAAGAAGTTTAGCACTGTGTGGGACATAGTTTCATGTACATTTGGTTTAAACAACTAATGCAGTTTTGTCTGATAGCATAAGGTTAATTAAAATGCAACTCTAACTTAACAGTCACTCGTACTTTCTGGGGAATTTGTACATGTTATCTAGCCAACGTGGTATCAGTAAGCCTGCAGTCTTCCTTTTTCTGGAACATTGTGATACATCTTGTCTTGTAGGTTGATGAGCTGGGTCTTGGCATTTTAACAAGTAGACACAAATACTTTGTAAGATTCCAATTCATGAAAATACTTGTAAAATGTTTAGTATAGTGCCTGGCACAGTGTAAATACTCAATAAATGTTTCTTATTGTCATTATCTATTATTCCTTTATTGTGTGAAGAGAGGTTAATTCAGAGAATTTACAATTAAGGAAAACTTTTACAAAGATAAAATAATGCAAATGTGAATGAGTTTTTTGAGGAAAGAGTATAATAGCCAATATAATTGCATTTGGTTTTCATTTTTTTCCATTGGGAGATCACTAAATTGAGTTTCTCAAGGACAGATTATGTATTATTTTGCCTTCGGTCTTGACTTCACCATATCTTCAGTGCCTGACCTGTAGTTACAAGCTGCAGAAATACTGTGTTAAATGTTGAATGGTTCCTATTGATAGTTTTGCTGTGTATCACAACTCTTTGGTAGTAGGCATCTTCTGAGTCTGAGAAGTGGCTACACTACATGACTTTGAATCTTTAATTTTAAGAATAGACTAAGGTGTCATGCAAAGTCTTCTGAGTACCATTCTTTTAATCTAGCCAAAAATTTGAAAATTATCCCAGAAATTGAAAGAAAGAAAGAAAAGAAGCCAATTATTTGCAGCTAGATTAGTATTTGTTAACCCATTCCATGTGAGTTGTTGAAATTAAAGTGAATAGCAGTTTTAGGAAACAGAGTAGAAGAAATAGTTCATGCATAATTATAGGCTCTTAGTTGCTAAAAGACAACTTAATCTTATCTCTTCAAGGCAGTTTCAGTGAAACTGTAGGCTTATACTGGCTTTGTGAATTTAGTGGCTCAGTCACTTTCTTAGATTCCTATCATGTAGGGAATATTGGTGTTTTCACAGAAAAGGGAAACACCCCAACCCACCCTACTTTAACCATTTTTAGATGTTTAAATCTTAGCACCAGTCAGCTTTTTCCAGTTCTGTGGCAAGTTATCCTCTACCTAATAATAATAATTTTAGCTTTTGTAAAATGTAATGCTTCTCTTAAGTTCTAAGATCTTTAGTCATTTACACAAAATATTTCTTGGCTGTAAAAAAATCTCCAAAAACATGTATAGGACAAATTGCTTTATATTCAAATCAGATATGACACAGTACTACTATTTTAGAAGTGATAGAAATACAGACAATTTAATATTGCAATACTCTTGTGGCCTATTTGCTTGTTTTGAACTGCAACAACTTCCCACTGGAAAAAGATGCTACTGCTGAACATTAGTTTGAGTGGCTTCAGTAAGTAAGTCTGATTTATCCACGAACAGGTACAACATAGATGAAGGCATTTTAAGAATTTGTAGTATTTTAATTGTCTCGTTAAAGAAAACAGCATTCTTGTTTCATTTAAGAAAAACAAAAACAGTCCTAGTACAAGTCACAGAGCCAAATATTAAAACGGGAAAGGTCCTGTAAAGAGAGACAAGGGAAAAGTAACATATGTAGAATTTAACAGATTTTGATTGGAAATATGTGAATGCCAATTGTTATTAGTAGAATTATTCAAAAGAACTAATCTGTTAAAGTGTGTGATCCCTGCATCCAACCTCTCATCCCCAACCTTGCCTAAACAGTAAGTCAAAAGCAGTGCCACATTCCTGGATATTATTACAAAAATTAGTGAAAGACTTGAAAGTTTCTGGGGGGGAATTTTGGCCATTTAAATTGCCTCTTTGGCTGGTGCAAAAGGCAGGTTCTGCAAGAATGAATTATTGCACAAAGAAAAAAAGTAAAAGTAATTTTCAATTAATCAGTTGTACTTATTCCCAGGTTTATTACCTATACTTTTATCCGAATTATTAAATAATACTCTTATTTTGAGTTTCAGCTTAAAGTTTTATGCTAACATTTATATTAAGGAAAATTTCGCTTGACCTTTAATATCTTTGTTAACCTTTTTAGTATAAGCAGAATTAAGCATATCACAAGTTTCCTGTCAATTTGCCAGCCAGGCAGGCCAAGGATATGGCATGTTTCATCAGTATAGAGCCTATAGTAATTGACTAGAAAGATTTTCCATTCCCTATCAATGAGAGAAAAATACTTGGCGATATAAACAAAAACTTGAAATCAGCATCTTGACCTTGCAAAACATAGTTCTCACACAGGCAAGTGTTGTTTAGTCAGAGAAATAAAAACAGTAATTCTGATATGAGCTGGAGAGATAGGAGTAGAGGGGAGCTTACCTGGTTTTAATTCTCTCTGCAACTTAAGAAAATACTGCTTTTGAGTTGATCTCTGTCAGCTTGTTGACCTCCACCCCTTTAAATACTTTTAATTTTACCTTGTTAGGAGTCAGTGAGGTATAATAAGAAAAGACTTGGGATTTAAAGTCAGATGAACCCAAGCTCAAATATGAGTTCTGTTACTGCTAACTTACAGCTCTGTGGTCTTAGGCTCAGCACTCAGATTCTTTGAGCCTAGGACTTTTCTTTAGAAAAATACATATGTATAGTAACACCTACTCTGCCTGGTAGTTTTAACTACATTATCTGTATTTCTTCTGTTAGCTGGCTTAGTACCTATCTGGAACCTAGTAGGCATCAATAAAAACTAGTCAAAATATAAAATACATCTTATAATATCCTCTGCTGAAGTTTTTCTTCCCTGTAACTTATCTTCATTTTTGAACACCTTCTACTTAGTAAAGTTTAATTTTTAGAAGTATTAATCTTTCAACTAGAATAAGGTGATTCTTGTTCTAGTTACATTATAAATATATAACTTAAATAATGGGAAGATTTGATTGGAATTTTGCTTTGTTAAACAGTTTTTCCCTCAAGGTACTTGTTCAGTTCATTTTTCCTCAACAGATAGATGAAAAAGAAATAATTTCTATAATGTTTAATTTGCTGTAACTCTTTAAACCAAGGATGAAATAAACAAAATATCGCTTTTAATTGCAAAATAAACATGCAAATCATTATTAACTCTTTGTATTTTTAACTATTCCTGTGAAAAATCCTACATTTTCAATTTGAAAGTAGTTTACAACCCATAATTTAATTCTTTTGTGTGAAAAGCACTAAAAAATTGGCATGGGTCAGATTTTGGAAATACCTCAAATATACTTTAAAACTTGTGCCACTTTATCTGTATAAAATAATCTTTGTACTTTTTCTGTTCTAAGTTGCTAGTTAATCTCTTTTTCTGTTATTTCAACAATACTGTTTCCTGTGTCCATGTTTACACTCAAAAGGGACATAGTGTAAAATTTCCCAGTATTTATTACTGGATTAATTGTGATTTTTTCTATGATTTTTTTTTCCTAAAATTTTTTTTCTTGATACATTGAATAGACGGGTATGATTGTTATAGAATATTTTGCTCTACTAATTAATATTAAATGCTGTTTGTATATATATTTAACATATTACCACTAATAACATGTTACTAATACCATTTGTTTATTGATTATTCCATAAACTTCAGAACTCTTCCTGTTAGTACAGTAATAGATAGCTTATTACTGAAATGTAAATCTAATTACTGCGGTTACTAATGAAACAGTTTTTTAAAAAATGCTTGAGTTTTAATAAGTATGTTTAGAACACTTACTAGTGATACGTGAAAGCTCTAATTCTGGAGATAATAAGTACTCTTTAATCTTCCACATGTGCTGTTTTTGTGCAGTCTTTAGAATAAATCCAGAAGCACAAATAGTGATGAAGACCCAAACATTAATCATCAGATAAGTAACTTTAACTTATGATTGCAGAAGAAGAATTGTGAGATACATACTGGTCTTTTCAGTTGTGTTTTTTTTTTATTTTTATTTTTTATTATTTTAATCATTGTTCAAGTACAGTTTTCTCCCTTTTACTCCCATTCCAGCCTACCCACCCATCCCTCCCCACTTCCCTCCCATTACCACCCTCCCCCTAGTTTTTGTCCATGTGTCCTTTAAATTTGTTCCTGTAAACCCTTCCCATTCTCCCCTGAAATTCCCTCTTCTCTCCCCTTTGGTCACTGTAAAAATATGGAATGCTTCACGAATTTGCGTGTCATCCTTGCACAGGGGCCATGCTAATTTTCTCTGTATTGTTCCAGTTTTAGTGTGTGTGTGCTGCTGAAGCAAGCACTTCAGTTGTGTTTTAAATGCTGAGTAGCTTTGCTGTCAGCAAAGTCAACAGTGGTGTGAAGGATTATTTATATGTATATACACAAAAGTTTCATTTTTGTTTTCATCAAATGTAATTATTTTGGACAATTTTAAAGTTCAGATAGGTCACTTACTTTAGTAATACTCAAATCAGCAAGTTAATTTTGCTTTTCTGCAATTTGCAACAGTTTGTCCTGTATGTAACAAATAAACCAATAATCAATTGCATAAAAATTAAATTGAAAAAACCTCCCTTTAAAAATTAATATTCAGCCTTGGCTAGAGCATCATTCCATAATCAAAAGGTTGCATGTTTGATTTCCAGTCAGGGCATATGCCTAGGTTGTGGGTTCAACCCTGATCCAGGCTCATGGGAGGCAACTAATCAGGGTTTCTGATGTTTCTCTCGCTCGCTGCCCTCCTGTCCCTCTCTCTTTCTAAAGAAAGGAATGAAAAAGTGTCCTTGAGTGAGAATTTTTAAAAAATTAATATTCATATTGACATTTTATGGACTGGTCTTTTATGCTGCCCTTTTGTTATCTAGCATTTCCTGATCAAAGGTTTTTATTGGTGCTAAGTCATCACTAGAAAATAGTTAATAGAAAACTTAACAGTATAGGCAAGAAAATTTGTGTGTGTGTGTTTTTGTTTTTTGTTTTTTGTTTTTTTAAGGAATTGAAGCCCTGAACAATGTGGTTCAGTTGGTTGGATCATCATTCTGTAGCTGAAAGGTTATGGTTAGATTCCTGGTGAGGGCGCATGCCTGGGTTGCAGGTCCAATCTCCATCCAGGCCATGGATGCCCAGTCCAGCAGGAGGCAACCACTTGATGCTTCTCCCTGGCATTGATGTTTCTCGCTTTTTCCCTCTCTAAAAGCAATGAACAAATGTCCTCCAGTGAGGATTAAAAAAAATAAAATACAAGGAATTGAAAACAGTGCATATTCCATTTTAATCCTTTGAGCACAAATTACGATATAGTTGTTTGGTTAGTTTTTAAAAAGCAATTAGTGCCCTGATAAACATGTCCATTCACTCTTGGGAACTTAAACAGATGAATGTAGGCATCACAGGTAATTATTTGCTAGAACTGAAAAAGTACTTAAGGAGATACCTAAGAGATCATTGTCAAAAGTTGGTGAAATACAGATACTGCATATTTGTATTGAGTGTAATTTGTTTATCTTTTGACTACCATGCACCTGAACTGGACTTGACTTAAGTACTATTTGCCACTTTATGGTAATTTTTTAAAGAAATAGAAAAACACATGGAAATGGGGGTTTCACAATATTCTCATTTCTGCATAGTCTGTTCTGCTTTTTTATATATAAAAATGTATTGACATGTATTGGTTTAGATAACTTTTTCTTTTAGGTGTTTTTCTTTTTTTGAGATTTTTCTAGCTGAGATGATTGGTTGGTCTGAGTGAGACATCCTCATTCTCTTCATGAGATTTTCCCCTCGTGGACAATGGTATGAGTTTATGGGATGACTGTTCAGAGCAATTGCTGTAGCTCTGCAAGTGGAACAAGAAGTACTTTTTGAGGAAGGTAATTGGTTCATGGGAAAATTGAACTGGTGATCTTAGCCAAACCAAGCCACAGGATTAGTACTTCAACTTTTATAGGATATCACATGATTAAAAGAATAGCAAGAGAGTCCATAAAGTTTGTTTCATATGCCTTCTATAACACACCTGTTCAAAATGACTGACTAGTTCAAGAAATCTTCCACTATGTCTTATCTCTGAATTTTTTTATTAGTCTCTCTATTTCACTTATCCAGTAGTTTGGAGTTCCTACTATGTGTCAGGTACTTTGCTACATGACAAGGATGGGGAGATGAGTTGGGAGAAGAGAGGCCATTTTAGTCAGAACAACATGTGCAAAGGATGGAGAAGGCAGGCTAGTTTACAGGTGTTCAGTAACTATGAGTTACTAGGCACAGTGCATGGGCACCAGCATTGAGTCAATAGGAAGTGATGTAGAAAATTAGGAGATGGAGTATGAAGATTCTTACATGCTTTTTAAAGAGTATTTGACTTCATCCTATAAATGATGAAAGGCAAGTGCTTAAATTCACATTCCATGAAGGTCTCTCTGCATTGTAGAAAAGATTTTAGAAAAGAGCCAGGCTTGGGGGAGAGAGGCAGATGTGTGAGAGATAAGAAGGAGCTGAAACAGAGCTGCGATTAAGGAGAGGAGTAGATGGTGCATTTGAGAAGAGGATACTGAGCGTGAAGTAAAACAAGATAAGGATTGTACTGTGCCCTGGCTTGAGTACTGGGTGTATAGGGTCATGACTGCCATTCACCAATACAGGAACATACCAGGGGGCAGTAACAGGCGAGGAAGAAATATGAATTCCTTTTGCTGATTTTAAAGTTCCTATGGAGAGAAAAAGAGGAAGAAGACATGACATTATATGGGGCGGGGGAACAGGGAAAACTACTCTGCTTAGATAACATTTGAGCAGGTACTTAAATGAAGTGATCAAGAGAAAGCTTTCCGAATGAAGGGAATAGCAAATGCAGAGGCCTTTAGGTGGGAACATGCTTGCAGTGTTAGAGAGTAAGAAGGCCCGTGTAGTGGGCGCTGAGACAGGGAGAAGGGTAGATGGGATCTGGGTGTGTGCTCTTCCTGCAGCATCTTTAGATTGTAGTAGGGACATTCGATTTTATTCAGGATGAGATAGGAAGCCACTGAAGGGTTTTAAGACATGATCTATTTGCCTTTTTTCTCCTCACTTATAACATAATTTATTTTTTGGTCATTGTGTGTGTTTAGTTCCATATCATTTATCATGTGTATAGGTCCATGTAACCATCACAGTCAAGCTATAGAACTAGAACTGTTCATCACCAAAAAAGAAATTTCTCTGTGTTACCCCTATATAGATGTTTCTTGACCTACGATGGGTTTATCTCCCACTAAACCCCTCATTAGTTGAAAATATCATTAAGTCAGAAATGCATTTAGTAAACCTAAGCTGCCAACATCCAAAGCTGAAACCTAGCCTGTCTTAAATGTGCTCAAAACACTTGGCATTAGCCTGCAGTTGGGCAGTTATCTTGAGGTTCATCTCAAGAGTAATTGCCTTCTTCTCAGTAGAAGCAAGAGGCACAGATGGGTGTTTTGTACACATGATGGGATGTAGAAACACAAAACACAATGTCCAAAAAGCTGCCAACACAGTGCCCTGGAGAACATTGGTTGCTTACCCTCATGATCACGTGGCTGCTGGAGAGCTGCAGCACACTGCCACTTAACCAACGTCACCAATATCAGCAGCCTGAGAAAAGGTCAAAATTCAAGTACAATTTCTACTGAATGTGTATCGCTTTCATACCATAGTCAAATCAAACTATAGTAAGTCAGGGACCATCTCTATATAGTCTTACCTTTCCCTCAACCTTAATCCCTGGCAACCACTGATCTGTTCTCTGTCACTATAATTTTGGTTCTTGGAGAGTGTTAGGTAAATGGAATTACATATTATGTTATCATTGGCTTTTTTCAGTCAGCATTATGCCCTTGAGATCCATCCAATTTGGTGCATGTATCAATAGTTACTTCCATTTTAATCATAAGAAGTGTATCATCGTAGGGCTGTACTGCAGTTTGTTTAACCATTGACTGACTGAAGGACTTTTGGTGATAAAAATAAAACTGCTATGAACAGTTTTGTACAGGTTCTTACGTGAAAATACATTTTTATTTTTCTGCAATGAATCTCCAAGAGTGCAATTGCTGGGTTGTGTGATAACTCATAAGAAGCTACTACTTTTCCAGAGTGACTGCACCATTTTACATTCCCACCAGCAATATATGCAAGATTCAGTTTCTCCACATCCTTGCCAGCATTAGGTATCATCAGTATTTTTTATTTTAGCAATTCTAATGGGTGTGTAGTGACATCTTATTGTAGTATTAATTTGCATTTCCCAAATGGCTAATGATGTTGAAGATATTTTCAAGTTCTTCTTTGCTGTCTGTATATCCTCTGTGGTGAAGTGTCCATTCCAATCTTTTGCTCATATTCTAATGGTGTTCTTATTGAGTTTACCAAGTTCTTTCTATATTCTGGATACAAGTCCTTTTGAGTATGTGATTTGCAGGTATTTTCTAATAGTCTGCTGCTTATCTTTTTCATCTTTAACAGGGGCTTTGCAGAGCAAAAAAAGTTAATTTTGATGAGTCTAATTTATCTTTTTTAAATGGACTGTGCCTTTGTTATTAAGTCTGAGAACCCTTTGCTTATCCTTAGGTCCCAAAGATTTATTCCTGTTTTCTTCTAAAAGTTTTCTAAAAGCTTTATAGCTTGCATGTATAAAATCCATTTTCACTTAATTTTTGTGTAAAGGTATGATGTTTAGATTAAGGGTTTTTTTGTTTGTTTTTGGTTTTGTGTTTTTGGGGGGCGGGGGCTATGGATGTCCAGTTGTTTTGATACCATTTGTTGAAAAAAATTATCCTTCCTCCATTGAATTGCATTTGCACCTTTGTCAAAATCAAATGGTTATACTTATGAGAATTTATTTCTGAATTCTCTGTTCTGTTCCACTGATCTTTGTGACTGTCCCTCCACCAGTAAATACTGTCTTGATTACTGTAGCTGTATAGTAAGTCTTAAAATCAGGTAGTGAAATTAACTTAATTCTCCTTTTTCAGAACTGTTTTATTTGTTTCAGCTCCTTAACATGAAAAATTTGGAATCTACAAACAGATCCTACTGGGATTGTGGTAGGAACTATATTAAAATCATAGACCAGTTGGGAATTGACACTTTTATTTTGTTGTCTTTTAATCCATGAACACAGTCTGTCTTTCCTTATATGTAGGTACTCTTTGATTTCTTTCATCAGCATTTTGTAATTTTCAACACAAAGCCTAAACATGGTTTTGGGTTTTTTTAGATTCATATCTAGATACATTTTTTGAGCAATTTTAAGTTCTACTGTGTTTTTAATTTTGGTTTT